CCTCCCGAACATCACCGAAAGATGAAGGAAAAAGAAAACGGTGCAGCGCGGTAATATTCTGCTTGCGTTGTTTTAGCGAAGTTGTGTAAGGGAGAGGTAAAATTTGAGAACGGAAATCTTCGGAACGTGATATTAACGTTTCAAATTATAATTTCAGTCACGTTTCGTGAGATAATTCTTTCCATTTTTCTTGTGGATGTTGAGAAAGACTTTTGAAAGGATCGATATGATATTCTTTCTTCTCCTTGTCTTTTTCCTCATATTAGTTATTAATATCGAGACGACATGTTTCTACAAATTTTTGTGCAATTAAATGTAGGTCATTAAAAATGGTTCAGCGTAACGAGATAATCGCAAAACTGATAATTTTTGAATTATAATGAACGGAATACTTTAAATTTCTATTGGAATAAAATTAAGTATTTAATATACTATATACTATATTTTATATTCTATATTTCAAGATTTTTTGGTGAAAACGATTGAAACTGCCAGGAAAGCACTCAGTTTTACGTTGAAATATTTAAAGGACTACACTGAAAAACCCGGTATTTCAGGTTACACATTTTCGGACAAAGTTGTCGATAAGCCGATTTTCATGTACTCGAAACCCGTTGAATTAATGCTCACTCAGCGTTCGTATTGTGCGTTTGCATACTTTGAAGCACATATTCGGCTTTGACCGAAAGTACGTAAAGTATGTAAAATATCTTTAAATCGCGCCGAGTTCCCTAAAATGCTCATTATTCTAAAGAATTAAAACGAACAATAAGTTTTTTTACACCAATTTATAATAGATATGTGAATACCGACGAAGTTTAATTGTATAATTAATAAGCATAATTAATCTGTTTGTTACAATTTGTTGAAAAGTAAATATCAACGATATTTGATATTTTTAGTCAATGGTATTTTTAAACGAATAATCCCTTGCGTTTGTTGTAGAAGCTTTCGGGCTATCTACTATGTATGAGAGTATGCTGATATTTCAGTGGAAATATTTTCGTTTTATCTTTGTGATACGTTCTGGTCCGACTGTGCATGTGTATTACTGTATGCATATTATTATCCTCCACGAAGTTAAAACAAAATGGATTATAGAGAAGAATTTGAATATCATGCTTCTTTTTTATTTTCAAATTTTAATTTGGAATTCTATATTTATTCTGTCTTATTGGATAATCTCATTATTCAATTGAATTTTGCCATTTTTGTTAGAATAAAGAGGTCTTTGTAATCTAATTCTTTTTATGTCGAAATTTGCTTCGCATTACGTCAAACGTCATTTTTGATTTTTTTATGCAAAACTATTCACAACCGTTATATTTTCATTTTCCAGGTCTCGAGAAGTGCAGGGATACTGTCACACTTCGTCAATCTAAATATAGTGATACCAGAGGCGTTTATATTAGGAAGCGACGAGCATCACGTCGACGTAGGGTCTATCATAAATCTCGTGTGCATAATAGAGAAGGTAAGACACACTGCATGCCGCATTTGCGAGATGCTTACTTTATGCAGACACGAGAGCGAGTCCGCTAATAAATGTAAATAATAGAAATTTCTCGCGATAACGCAGCGACCGCGCACGCAGTTTTCCTTTTAAAAACCGACTTCCTTTTCTGTCCTTTTCCGTCATGCGCTTATGGCGCGAAAGCTCGCGTTACGGTACATGTTACCGCACGCGTTGCACGGATATTAACAAATATTGATCATTTTGTACCAGCTATATGTTTGATCATACCGGCGTTTTAAATCGTTTACATTTTTAATATGTTTACACGAGTCGATCGGTGTCGTACGCGTCGCGCAATCTCGTTTTACAGGTATATCAAAATTGTTTTCCTTTTCACAAAATAAATGAAAAGCGATCAGTTTTTGACATGACTTTCATCTTTATTGCCGTCATCGCCCTGTCATTGTCGTCTACGTGTCCATGCATAGTAATACTGAAAAATACGATGTTTTAAATATCTATATTAACGTACAAGATATCCCAAATTTTCTTCGTATTTAATGGAATTATTATATTTTCTTTAATGTGGAATTTTTTTGTAACACATTTTTTAATCGATGTTCTCTGAACAAAAATCAAAACGGTTAAAATTTTTGCAAAAATAAATGACATTTTGATTATCTGTACGTTAATATATATGATATTTCAAATTTCCATTGTATTTTCTTTTATTATTATATATTTTTTAATAAAATTTGTACAAATTCTTGAATCAATTAAAAATCGATCGTTCTTAAGTGATCTTATTAAATATCAGGACAGTTAATATCTCTGAAAAAAATACAAGTCTCGAGCAAAAAATTTACCTCCAATCTCGCTGAAGGAAGATTATTTTAATTCAAGTTTTAAAAGCTGCAGTATTTCCCGATTGTAGCAATATCGTTGCATTATGTCCGCTTAATATTAAATCGTTTACACGAGTTTTTAATGTGCTAAGCGAAAGCCTCGGCGGCGATGCGTTGAGCGAGAATTGCGTCGTAACATAATTTTCCGATTTCATAAATAAAATTGTGATACGCAAGGCGTATCCCTCGGGATACGTTCACATGCGCGCGGGATTAATTATCAAGATGCGTTAATAGCAACCAGCTTCCCTAACTCGTTCTCATTGCGTACATGGCGATACGACGTTAACAAGAGTAATTCGCGCGTGGTCGTATCGCACTGGCAATCCCGCGCCCGTCGTTTCATTCGTTCTCGTATAACTTTTGACCTATATCCCTATATAGATTATTAACGTTTCCGGAAATTTGCGCGCGAATGTACGCTGCCGCTGTACATGCGCGCCCTTTCGCGCTTTCCCCTTTCTCTCCACGCCTCCCCCCCCTCCCCTCCCTCCCCTCTCTTCCCGAATATCGAAGCATTTCCCGTTCAAGGCGCAGCAGACGCCCGCCTCGGAGCCGTTCGCTCGGCGCAATATACATATGCCCGCGATATTTCAGTCACTTTATCGGATTCTGCCGCTTGTCTGCGGATTCCGCAATATGCAAACGCGGCGCCGTGCTTCCCGTCCTTACTCGATATTCGCGGCGCAGCGCGGCACAGCGCGGCGCGGCTAGGCGACGACGGGTACGAAAGAAGAAATCGCGCGGGACACCCGATGACGTTGATTCTATTTTAATTGGCAACTCCGTGTATACCAGGGATGCCCATTAATTAAACTGATAAATTAAAATCGTTGCGCCCGTGCCCGCGTCGCCGCGGTGCGGCCGGGAATTGATTAAATTCGTGTTCCGTCCGACCTTTCGGCTGCGTGCCGGCCATCCTCCCATTCCCAATTTAACAGGGCGCCGCCGAGTCACTTCATTCTTTTATACTGCTTCACAATACCCGTGTGTGCGTGTGTATTGGTGCAAAGTTCTTCCTGGAAGCATCTCTATACACGAAGCCTGCAGAGTGACGTTCTCTTCCATTAATTTGTGTTCTACTCTTATGGTACAGCCGACGAGATAAACATCATTAATTCCGCGCGATTGTACTTCGTAAGGCATTGTTATTCTGAATTCATTAGAAAAATTCGAGATGCAAACAAAACGGAGTGGCGCGGCGCAGAAATACAAGTCTTGTTTATGCTTCTTACTCCCGTTGTGTATATAATTCCAACAGTATTTTGCACTAGTTTTATGTAAATTTAAACATTCTTTCCATGTTCTCTCTCTCTCTATCTCTCATTCTCTTCTCTTTCTTTTCACTCATTTATTGCGCAAGAATCGCTTATAAGGGAATTAAAGAAAAAACAAATTAACTCAATGCAGTTGAATTAAGGATACCCTTGACTGTCTTTTAAAATAACAAATACTGAGTGTGGTAGTAGAATCGTTCTGCTGTTCCATTAATCTGCACATAAATCTCACTAAATATTGGAGAACATTTAAATCAGAATTCGCAACTTCCATTCATTCCACAGAGCCATCTTCATTATCGGCTTTTACATACGCACATAAATTATAATGTTATCGGTTCTACCAACTTTCGGGTAGACGCGGAGACGTGCACGCAAAGAAAAACCCCGCGCCACGACGTCCGATCCCGCAGTAATTGACGAGCGCGCGGCCATAAATACCGTTAATTAAACTGATAAATTAAAAGTGTCACGGTACAGGGTACCTGAAAATTGATCGCACGCAGATCCGCGCGCGCACACGGCACGTGTGTCGCGGATATATATGTAAATGTATGCTCGCATGCACAACCCGCTCTTTACCCTTCACGCGAACGTGTCGAAACGGCCGGAGCCGCCGCAGCCGCCGGGGTTTAGCGAGAGAGACGCGAGTTTGCAAAAATACACCCCCGAGAGCAAAAAGGAGTGGAGTGCAGCGGAACGCGGAGCGCTCGCTAAATAAGGGCGAGCGAAATGCGGACGGTTTAACTCCGGTTGCAAGTGCAACCGGGTCGGCTTAACTTCGAAACGCAACCGCGCCTCTAATCTTACTTCGTCACGCGACCGCAGGCAGTTAACTCTCGCCTTTCCGCCGAGTCCGGTTATCGTTCGGCGAGACCGAACGGTCGGTGAACCGCATTCGGAGAAGAAAAAGTGCGTGACGTTGTGGACCCTGGCCAGGCGATACACCTACCTCCCTCCCTTCTCCTCCTCCGCCTCCTCCTCCTCCCCTCCTCCCCTATCGCCCTCTTGCCGCTTCTACCAGTATTTTTGCTAAATAAGCTCGGAAACGGCGATATGTAAATTCAGACTGCGCCGATACGTATCAATTAATAATATTGCGCATTCGTAACCGCCAATATAAATTCATGCTTCATTGGCTAATACAATTTATATATCGACGCAATGTATCTAGAGTTATAAAAGTAATACCGGGCCCGAACTAATTGCGTCACGATCGGTAAACAATTTCACCGTTAAACCCGAGTGAATCCGCCGACGCGACGGAAACCGCATGAGAAAAAAAAGAGAGTGAAATAATACCTCTTCCCGCGCTTGTCCTCCCTGCGAATTGGAATTTTTTTCCGCGCATTTCGAATCCCACTGATCTCGCGGACGTCGTTTGCATTTTTAAGAATACAAATTACAAACTGCAATATCTCGGCGTGTATATTTTTTATGAAATAAGATTACCATGAAATATACAGCGAAACATCACGCGACCACAGGGTGAAGCACTTTTTGTAGCAAGAAATCGACGCACTTAGAATACAAAGTTTTTAGTTATAGAGAGGGAGAGAGAGAGAGAAATTAAATAGGAGATGATAAAAATTGTACATTGTTTTGGTATCATATATCACAGTCAGACAAGCTGTCCCAATGACATGTTACCAGGCTCATAAAAATTAGATATTCCCACGAGAAACTAACATTCGCTGCACGTCGTCGTTTAATTTCACGCGTGCATGTTATAGCTTTGCGTCATTGGTTACGTTGTACACAATTGCCGCATCCTAGAGAGTGAGAGAGAGAGAGAGAGAGAGAGAGAGAGAGTAGGAGAGAGGAAGCGACAGAGAAAGAAGGAGCACGAGAGAGACTATCGATCGATACGGGCGCGCTTACGTTCGCTCCATCCGAGCTTAAAGAGGAAATTTTGGAATTGCCACCGCAGACGAAGTTTTGAACTTTAAAGCAGGAGATAAAGCTTTCTCTCATCCCCGTATTAGGGGAAAGATTTCATTGGGCCACTCGGGTATAGCGTAGATAAAAGTTGCCGCGAATGGAAGAACAATAAGTGTCTCGCCCTGAACTCTCTTTAATGCGTAATGAGTATTCTTTTACTTGCGCGAATAACATGTAAATCTTGAAAAAAAGTTAACGTTTCCGGCGTTGCTTGTCATCCCGCAAGAATATCCCGGTTTAAAAAATATATATCATCGCTATCTTGATACTTGAAAGCGTTGAATGTCGTTTATTTTCGTTCGATGACGGAAAGATAAATGTTCAACGAGCGGATATGAGATTTCCTTCATTTCAATATCGAATTGCTGAATGATATTGTGATCAATTTCATTGTGATGTATTAATACATTGTTGATCGGGCGTTTTACGCAGAATTTTATGTATGCCTGTGTGGCCGGTTATTTTTATTTCAAAAAATTCAACGGAAAACAAACAAAATTTCGTTTATGGACAAAAGGTAAGAAAAAACAAGTTATAACAAAAAGTGAAGGATAAGCACAACCACAAACCCTATAATGAAAACTTTATCAATTTTAAACTATAATAACTTTGCACAATGATTTAAATTACATGCCTTTCTAAACACGAGTGAACTCATCGATCAATAATGTTACAACAGAAAAACAAGCTCTCAATAACGTGTTAATGTAATTGTATACAAATTTTATTATTTAACATAATAAAATGCACATTCTTTTCGTTTCATTTGCGATTTAGATGTATTTTAAATATTCTACTACTATATTTTCACATAATTTTAATAAATAAAAATTTAATAACAATGTGCGTAATTCGACAATTGATGAAAATTTCCGCGATATAAATATAATTTTGA